CCGGCCCGGCCCCGCGCTCCCCGCGACCGCAGCCGCGCGCAGCCACGCTCCCACTTTTCCAGGGGGCCAGGGCTGGCTGTGGGGAGGCTGCAGCGACAACGTGGGCTTCGGAGAGGCCATCTCCAAGCAGTTCGTGGACGCGCTGGAGACCGGGCAGGACGCGCGCGCGGCCATGAACCTGCACAACAACGAGGCTGGCCGCAAGGTGAGCCGCGCCCGCCCGCCCCCGGCCAGCCGCGCGGGCGCCGCTCACCGCGCTCTCTCCCCAGGCAGTGCGAGGCACCATGAAGCGCGCGTGCAAGTGCCACGGCGTGTCCGGCAGCTGCACCACGCAGACCTGCTGGCTGCAGCTGCCCGAGTTCCGCGAGGTGGGCGCGCACCTGAAGGAGAAGTACCACGCGGCGCTCAAGGTGGACCTGCTGCAGGGCGCGGGCAACAGCGCGGCGGGCCGCGGCGCCATCGCCGACACCTTCCGCGCCATCTCCACGCGCGAGCTGGTGCACCTGGAGGACTCCCCCGACTACTGCCTGGAGAACAAGACGCTCGGCCTGCTGGGCACGGAGGGCCGCGAGTGCCTGCGGCGCGGCCGCGCGCTGGGCCGCTGGGAGCGCCGCAGCTGCCGCCGGCTGTGCGGGGACTGCGGGCTGGCGGTAGAGGAGCGCCGCGCCGAGACGGTGACGAGCTGTAACTGCAAGTTCCACTGGTGCTGCGCCGTCCGCTGCGAGCAGTGCCGCCGCCGCGTCACCAAGTTCTTCTGCAGCCGCGCGGAGCGGCCGCGGGGAAGCGCGGCGCCCGGGCTGGGGCTGAAGCCCTGAAGGCCCTCTCCTGCTTCCTCCCCCTTTGTTCTGGGCTTCTGTTAAGAGATTCCAGGACTAGGGGAACCTCGGGATCCGGGGCTCCCAAACGCTGAGACCCCGAGGGAAAGACTGCCTTCTCCCCGAAGCTTGCCACTTGCCAGAGGGTTTTCCGGCTCCTCTGCGCTCTCTTCCTAGAGCTGGGTCCGAAGCGTCCTCTCAGCTCACAAGCAGGTCTGAGAACTGTGCTGATACCGAGCTACACATCCTCCTTGGGCTAGGAAGAGTCTAGGCCTCCGGCCCCTAGGTCCCTAATGCTGTAGGCCTGGCCTCCCTATCAAGCCTTAGGAGAGGAAGGACCCTTCTCAGCCTCGCAGGTGCAGGTAAAGCCAAGCATTTCTCCGCTTGCTGTCTGCCACCACGCCTGCACCAGCCGCTGACTCTCCTCCTCCAGTGCCCTGCCACTGCTCCTGAGCCCCTGTTGTCGCAGACTCCACACGAATGTCTGGCACTTTCCCTCCTCCATTTCTAAGCAGAAACGAGGAAATAGGCCTGGGTTTGAACAAGCATGCCTTCGGAGTTGGTTCCTGGCTCAGGGGTTGAACATGGGAAGGAGGCCCAGGCTCCCAACCCCTGCTTCACCCCTTCATGGAGGGCCTCACCAGCGGAAAGTGACTGCCTCAATCACCCAGAATACTCCACACACAGTCAAGAGGCCTGGGGACTTGCAAGGACAGAGTACCAGGCATTTCCTGCCCTTCAAAGCTAGCTTTCCCTGCTCCTAGTCTATTTCCTCCTAGCAACCAATCTTCACTTTTTCTCCTTCCCCAAAGGAGCCAACACAGAGGTAAATAAACCCAGTTTCCCTTTTGGACCCTAGCCTGCACCTCTGAAGGCATACCACAGGAGGGACAAGCTGGTTCTCAATAGGCACTGGACACCTTCATTCAATGAGGAGACTTCCGGACGTTAAGCTGTTGCTAATACTAACTTCAGCACCTTGACCTTTAATTTACCGCAGTCACTGTGGTATGTGCCGCCCTCCCACCCCAGGCACTAAACTCACTTTGCAGGCAGGGAGAGGAGTGTGGGGTAAAAGCTTCACCCCCTAGGCGCTCTCATTCCTCCCGCCTCCGCAGGATAGCTGCTTCCCTGATGCCTACACAGTTAGCCTGACTTGATTGAGGCTAATCTGCCAAGGGTAGAAATCATGCACATCGTCTTCCTCTGATATATTCCTTCTCACTCGGAGGTCAGGTGCTTGCTGCTGTGGAGCTGGAGTTTTCCAGTTCCACTCTCAGAGAAAAGCCGTTCAGCAGGGACTTGTTTGTGAACTAGGGCTCCAGAGAAGGAAGCACTGACTCCCTGCAGCCCACGGGTCTTCCCCTGAGCCTGCTCCCTGGCTCTGAGCCTCCTGGGCTCCAGGCAGCTCTTCTGCAGATCTGGTCTGTGCCCTCTTCTCCCAGGGTAGGAGAAAGTGCAGAGGCCACAAAACCAATGCTCGGGGGGCTGAGCAGGATGAGGACTCTCCTAGGCCAAACTGAGCCAGTGCCAGGCCAGCCCTCAGGCCCCTGGCCCCAGCCCTGCAGCTGTTCTGGTCCTACTGAAGCTTCCTGGGAGTGGCTCCCTTCCTCACCATAGGGCACACTTCTCTTCAGGGTCTTTCAGTGTTCTGTGTCCAGCTTTATTAGCACAAGGTCTTTTCCTCATTCCTTCAGCTCTTATCTGAGCCTCTTACGTCACCTTCTTCCCTGGTCAAGCAACAGCTTCACTAAGCTGCCCCATCTGCCAGTGTTAACTTGATGGTGAGCATGAAGAAAACGTGGCAAGGCAGCTGGGAAATGGGAAAGGAGCTGTGGCAAAGCGCAGCTGCACCCCAGCACAGCGGTGGACTTGTAATGCTCCCAGTATGCTCACCCCGGGTCAGCACTTTAGACACGTCACCTGTCAGGAAATTCTGTCTCCCAAGGTGGGGGATGAATGCCAGACCTGCCTGAGCGCCACAAAGAGGAGTCACAGAGCTACTTTAGGTCTGTAATGCCCCCCACCCCCTTTATTGTTTGCTCAGGAAACACTGGAGTGGAGACACACGAAACACACACTAGCACCCTGCACTCATGGGTCCTTGTGTCACGCTCAGAAACCTGCAGTGAGGTGGCCAACTCCAGAACCGTGGCTTGGGGAGATACCTTAGATCCGGCAGTCACGTCATGTGTCTTACAGGTTTAGAGATGCCGGGAGACTGTATGCCACTGGGGTGAGTAATGCATCCCAGGCCCCGCCCTCCTCCCAGGTGTTTCTGGGAGCCCATCCGTCTCTTCTTGGGGGCAGAAGCAGAGGGAGGGCCTGAGCAGTGACAAGAACTCAGCTAGGGTGGGCAAACACCGTCTCCTTCCTGGCCCTGGCCTATGAGCCTGCACACAGGCAGGGCTCGCTCTTGTGAAAAGAACCCCTGGCTTAACTGGCCTGACTGCGGTTAGGACGGAGAGACAGGCCGTGCTCGGCACGCTGGTGGTGCTGCCGGTGGTGCGGGGAGGGCAAGCCAGGGCACTCGCCTATTGTGGGTCTGGATTGGATGCTTCCACTCATTCATTTCCTTTTAATTAACCCACATTCCTGGAGGAGAAATATTTATGTTGGCTCCCATAGAGCCAATCCTCAGACTGGAAAGAAGGGGGAAGAAAGCCTGTCTTAGCAAAACAATATCTCTAAAGAGCTCAAGAAGAGAAAATAGGGGAACAAAACGCCATTAAAATAGCCTTCTACCCCCACTGGAGTCAGTGAAAACTTCATTTCACATGTTAATCCGCCACTCCGCCCCTTCTCCGCTCACAGCGACGTTCGGAAAGTGTTTGGGAAAAGTCTTCCCAGTTCATACACAGCTCCCCGCGGCTCAGACTTCTCCTTGTGTTAGTTCAGGGCCCCAAGCGGGGCTCTTGCTCCAGCAGCGGCTTTTTTCTCCCTCACTTTAATTTAAACAAAGACCTCAGAGTTCATCAACCTCCCACTGAAATTCACAGCTGCTGAACAAACTAATCCCCTCTCCCAGCCTTTCTTCCCTTCAATAGGCTCTTGGCTTCAAAGACACTTTGGGAAAGGACTTTGCTGGGGCTCACACTGCTTCATCAATAGAAGTTAGTGCAAGTATTATCTGAAGAGCAAGTGGCTTTACAAACAAATACTGCCTAACAATCCTTCCCTCCCAAACACACACATCCAGCCTGCAGACACGATGGGTAGACAACAGGATTAGGACCAGTATCCCCTGGCTTCACACCCAGTGCCTTTGTGCAGCTCAGCCCTGAAGCGGTGTGGAGAACACTCTGGAGCTAACATCAGGCCTGGGTGGACAAGGGGACACACACATACAAGTACGTACCCATGGCAATGTGGCGGGCAAGTCCACGGCAGCGGATTGAAAAAGATCCTTACTCTATTGACCTCTCATCCTGCCCCAGCCTTTCCCCACCTTACTAGGGTCCAGTAGACCTTGAAAGAAAGGTAATGGCAAAATCGGCCCCCAGAGGCAACCATCTGAGAGATGACTGGACAGACCAAACCAAAGCAGTTTTATTAAATACATCAGTGCCTCAAATGCAGTTTGCAGAGAAAGCAGCCCTGAGATCTGTGGTAGGTGAAGAGGAGAAAGGCCCAAGCCCTGAGAAGCAGTGCTCAAAGTCAGCCTTCTGCTAACTGGTCTCCTATCCAGTAGGTGGGGCTTATCACCATGGCTTGGGCCAGACTCAAAGGCAGGTGGAGTCAAGGGCCCTTCCCAGGAGGTTGGGGTCCCTCTGTTCCCATCTTCTAACCTAAGAGAGCTCCCAGTGAAAGGCAGTTCATCCTTCCAGCTGCCCTCTAACCTAGCCACCCCCCAATAATGCTGGCACTTGAGAAGTTCCACTTAAAGGGGCCAGAGTTCCCTCTGGTTCTGCCCAAATCCCATCCCTCACATCAAGGCTTGTTCATAGGATGACAAGCAGCCAACGCTACCAGCCCTTGGGGAACACAGGCCTAAAAACAGAAAATCAGAGACAGGGAAGAGGTAAGGTCAGGCTCATAAACCCCAGAAGGGAAGAATAAAAGACAAGTAAGATGAGTCACAGCAGAGGTAGACTTGGAAACAATGGCTCAGCCCTGTGAACAGAACATCCCTAGGGCGTACATCCTGGGGCAGGGCTCTCAGTGCTGCACTCAAGAAGACCTGGCTCCCCACCCTGCCCCCAACAGAGGACTCCTTGGTCGGACCCTAGGTCCCAAGCAAGAGTGGGTGGAAACCAGGCCCTTGGCTGGCTGGCACCAACCCTAGAACCTCACAGGCAGGGCAGTAGGGGAAGGGACTGGGAAATAAACTCCATCGGCAGGAAGTGAGTGACGGCAGAAGTGGCTTCTGGCAGAAGGCTGCCTGGCTCAGCCCTGCAGCTTATGCGCAATGGTGAGGACAGCCTTCAGGACAGGCATGAAGCTGGACACCTCACTGAAACTGCTGCAGCCCACCACTTGGGCGTGGACCTCCAGGCCCTGCGCGAAACTTCCTGCATCCACACACCGGGCAACTTCGTGGAGCCCAGCCACAACATGCGGTGAGAGCTGTGGAGGGACTGACTGAGGTTAGTGAGGGGCCCAGCCCCACCCTGGCAGTGTGGGATACATAACAGAACACTCATGTTCCAGCACACAGTCGGGCAAGGCATGTTTGTGGGCAGTGGAATGCCTGGGTAGAGGCTGAGGGCACAGGGCAGCCATGCTCGAGACTTACCGCCCCCTCACACAGCTTCTCGTAGAGACCTTCTAGGCGGCGGGCTGCCTCATCCAGCTTCCTTTTTGTCTTCTGAGAGGGACACAGACCCAGAGCCCTCCTTAGGTCTAAGTCCCTGGACAGTTACAGGGGTAGGTTAAAGCTAGCAAGGTTCAATGCTACTTCCCCCATTTCACACAGGAAAAAAGAAGCCCAGGGCTGGTACTGGCTCACTAGCAAATGAGCAGCAGCATTCCTTCCTGCTGGCCCACCCTCCTTCCTGTGCTTCCTGCTAGCCAGGAGCCAGACTAAGAATTCACTCCAGCTGCCTCCCCTACTCCCTATGGACACTCTAGGAGGACGAGCTGCAGTCAGTGTATCCAGGGACAGTGAGGGAACTGGTCACACCCAAGGTGTCCTGGAGCCAGCTGAAGGTGTGAGGAGAGCACTGCAGAAGATCCACACTTACTAAATCAGCTGCAGACAAGGAGCAGCGCTGGAGAAGTGCCTCAAAGCTGGCCTTCAAGGACTGATGCTCTGGGGGCAGCTCCTTCCTTTCCATCTTCTTAGGAGGCAGGTGCTGAGGCTGCTAATGAAGGAAGGAACAGGGAAAAAGGACAGGCAGCCAAGTCCTCAGGGACTCAGGGCCATCCTATTCCTGCCCAAGCAGGGCAGAGCTGGGGTCAGGGCCCCTGTCCTTCTCTGCAGTAAGGATGCCTTCAGCTCAGGGCTGACACTACCTTGAAGAATAAGGCCCACCTCCAGCATCCCCTCTCTGCTACACCCAAGGAGGGCTGAAAGTTTTTCCAGGGAAGAGGAACACACTGTCCCTGTCACCTGCAAGCTGAGTTCCCCTGTAGCTCCGGGGGGTGCAAGATTCACACTGGAGACAGGGAGCTGTGCTGGAAGGACATGGGGTGGCTCAGAGATGAGGTTCCTAACTGCAGCAGTGATTGGTGCCGGAGGCATAAATGTCTCCGGCAGCTGAAGAGAGAAAGAAAAGCACAGGAGTCTAGGCTGAGCGGCTCCAAAGCTCCTGGTTTGGAGGAGTGGCAGGAAACGGTACTGGGTGGAGAACGAGGAAATGAGAAGCCAGATGAATGTATGTGGGAGAGAAAGAGTGGCAGAGGGCAGAAGGATAACTGGGAGGAGAGGGAGGTCACTGCAAGAACGGGAAGGGTGGAGCTGAATGTGGATAGAACCAGACAGTGGATCACTGGCAACTATACGAAGGGGTGAGTGAGGAAAGAGGCACTCACCTTTTCACTCTGAAAGTTTCCCCTGGGGGCTGGAGAATCTTTCCAGGAATCTTGAGGTCCTGTAAAATAAAAAAGCAAGAGTTTTTAGGGGTACAGTCAGGAACAATGGAAAGTTCTGGTTTGAAGGTTTGAAATATTATTTTAGCCAGAGACCCCCCACCTCCCTCTGCACATTAGCCACACTCCTAGCGGCCATTCTCCCCGCCAAAGGGACCCAGTTCATTGGCTTGAGAAAAAAAGACTCCTTGGGTGGTGGAGGAGAGAGAAGGAAAAGAAGAGAAACCCATAGAGGGACACGTGAGCAGGAGACTGACCTGGAGGAGTTGGGGTGCTCGCACACTGGAGGGCACCAGGACACAGAGCACCGGGCCCTCCATGGGGGTGCAGCAGTGGGAAGCCAGCAGGAGGGGCTGGGAGCACAGGAGTCAGAGGAAGTAGTCTCGGTGCTTCAGACAGGGAGGCAGAACCGGGCTGAATCACGTCTGGGGGTGTCATAGGTAGAGGGGGACCAAGAAGAGGCCACGTTCTGGGAAACTCCACGGGCTTTGGAACTTGAGCCTTTTGCCCTCTTGACAGTTGCAGTTGAGACAAAGCTAAAGCAGAACAGAAACAGGTCATTTGCTGCCAAACTTCAATCTGGGAAAGACTCAGGGCACATCAGGGAGGAATAGATCAGCAATAACAAAATAAGCCAGATATGGTGACACAGGCATGTAGACCCAGCTACCCTGAGCCCAGGATCAAGGCCAGCCTAGGCAGCACAGCAAAACCCAGTCTCCGAAAAAACTCAAGCCAGGCCTGGTGGTTCACACTTGTAATCTCAGCATTTGGGACTAAGGCAGAAGGATTACCCTGAGTTCAAGGACAGCCTGGGCTGCATAATGAGTTCAAGGCCAGCCTGAACTACACAATGAGACCTTGCCTCAAAAAGACAAAAAAAAAAAAAAAATTCAAGCCAGATGGTGGTACACATCTGAAATCCTGGCATTCAGGAGGCTGAGGAAGGAGAACTGTGAATTTGAGACCAGCCTGGGCTACATACTGAGTTCAAGGCCAGCCTGAACTATATAGCAAGACCCCCTATCTTGAAACCTCCCCACCTCAAAAAAAAAAAAAAAGAAAAACCAAAAAACAAAACCTTAAAAGTGACAATAATAATTAACACACATATAATAATATTAACACACATATATAGAGAGCTACAATTTACTAAGTACTTTTAACTATATATCTATTTGACCCCTCAAAATAATAATATAAGATTGAAATGACCAACATAAGTATGTTGGTATATTACCAAAAAGCATGAAGGCTTTTACCTAAGAAACAGTATTAGAAATTTAGTAAAGGATAGTATTAGGAATTCAGACGTCCAATTCTCTAAAAAAAAAAACTTCTAAATTTTAATTAAAAAACAAAACCCAAAAATGAATAAACAAACAACAGTGAAAGCCCAAGTTCTCTACCAGTCTGAGCAGCATAGGTGGCAGAGGCATTGCGTCTTCTGTGCTCCATCCAGGCAGAGCTCCCACACTCTTAGGAAACACCTTCTAAAATACATTTTTTATGTCAGCTGTGTGCACGCACGTGTGTGCGTATGTGCATGTGTATGCATGGGTGTGTGTGCACGTGTTGCTACAGATGCAAGCCAGGGCCTCATACGCGGTAGGCAAGTGCACCACCACTGAACCGTGTGCTAACCCTCAGTCTTTCAAGCTAACAGAGGAGAGGGAGACAAGTCCTCCTTGAACCACTGACTTCTGTGCTCTCAGCAGGCTGCAGTGACTTGGAGGTCAAGGGTAGCCTTCCTGAGATTTTTACTTTAATAACTTTTATGCCTGGATTCCACATCCACAGATTGAACCAAGCATGGAAAATAATCAGGAAAAAAAAACTGCGCTGACCACGTACACTTTTCTTGTCATTATCCCCCAAACAATTCAGTATAACAACTAATGGAGGCCACTCACCAGGCATTGTCCCAGGGCCAACAGACAAAGCCCGGCCTGCCTGGGGTCCAGGGGCTGTGGCTCTGCCTATGGTCTGTCCCTGGTGAGGGCCCCCAGGAGGGCCCCAGGGAAGGCCGGATGCTGCAGGCATCAGGGGTGAGTGAAGTGTGGCCCACGGCCTTGGAAATGGAGCTGGAACCTGTGAGGAGAAAAAAGGTCAGCTCTCACAGAGAGTAGAAAGGAATGAAATCAGAAAAACAGTGCAGAAAATTAGCGAAACAGAAAATAGTTCTTTGGAAAAAATCAATCAAATCAGCATATTGCTACATGAACTGATAAAGACACAAAGAGCCAGCCAGGCACGGTGGTGCACACCTACAGTCCCAGCTACTCTGGCTGAGGCAGGAGGGTCCACACTCAGTGCCAGCCCAGGCCATTCAGTATAGTACTTTCTCAGAAAAAGAAAGAAAGAGAGAGAGAGGGAGGGAGGGAGGAAGGAAGGAAGGGGGTTGGGGCTACAACTCAGCTCTCCAAGGGAGGAGGAAAACACAGA